TTCTTATTTCACATATGAATCAGTCCATATAAGCCACTACCGGTCACATAGAGGCCCTGCTCAATCGAGGTCATCAGATTTTGCTCAATTTGATATATGTTGTAGAGAAAAGTGTTTTATGAATTTTGCCGCAAGCTGCTTTAAAAAATATTGATCCCTCGATGTCTTATAAGCATTTTACGTAAAGTCCTAGAAGTGACTATATTACCAAATGGGAATCCTATTCGGATCATATCTCAAGAATGGCTAAATCAATTGAGCTGAAATTTTCTGTAGACATATATCTTAGAGAGTTCTATTTATCAGAAAATTTTTATCTCATAATATTGAGCCGTTGGGATTTTATGAACTGTCCAATATATACATGGTTGGAAAAGATATGATTCCAAGGGGGTAACGCTATAATTTCAAATAAAAGACATAATGAATTTTATATCAAATGAAAGCTCGTCAAAAATGGGGTTTATTGGTATTAAATAGTGAAGGTTATGAAAACCTTTTAATGTCGAACTTAATAAATTTTCAGAAATTTTATACTTTTTTTGTGATGGAAAATTAAAGTACCAGTGATTCAAGAATGGAGTAAAATGTTTTTCTTGAATATTTTTACACGGTTCGATAGAGCTCGTCGAGCTCTACAAAACTGTATACATTAAAAGCTTTTTAAGTCACTTTTTTGCGGTAAAAAATTCAAAAAAATATTTGGAAAATCTTAGAAAAAGTCAAAAAAATTCATATTGTTCATGTGGAAGAACAACACTTAATTTTTCAGTAAAATCAGCTTTTTTCATTGTTTTTACCCCGTCAGGCGTTTCGACATATACTCATTCGATGCGATTTTTCACGCTGCATCCAATGAATATATTTTCAAACATCTTCCATAAGAATACTAATGAAAAAAGCTGATTTTATTGAAAAATTAAGTGTTGTTCTTCCACATGAACAATATGAATTTTTTTGACGTTTTCTAAGATTTTCCAAATATTTTTTTGAATTTTTTATCGCAAAAAAGTGACTCAAAAAAACTTTTAATGTATACAGTTTTGTAGAGCTCGACGAGCTCTATCAAACCGTGTAAAAATATTCAAGAAAAACATTTTACTCCATTCTTGAATCACTGGTACTTCAATTTTCCATCACAAAAAAAGTATAAAATTTCTGAAAATTTATTAAGTTCGACATTAAAAGGTTTTCATAACCTTCACTATTTAATACCAATAATCCCCATTTTTGACGAGCTTTCATTTGATATAAAATTCATTGTGTCTTCTATTTGAAATTATAGCGTTATCCCCCTAGAATCATATTTTTTCCAACCGTGTAGTTTTTATTTTATTTATTTTTGATCAGTGCGCGCTATGTATAATTCAGTTGTCTATGTAGTGTTTATATTTTAAATAAAATAGCACGAAACGTGCTGAGAAACTCAGCTCTGCATTTTTTTTAAATGTTACTTTATTAAACACATAACTATAATTTTAATTATTGTGACCAGTAGTCGATTGCTGAAAAACAACGATTGGGACTAGCAGATCGAACTTGTTTTTGTTTCAAGAGATGGGACGGTTCGTTTTTGATTGAATTACCCATATCAACACCTCATACCATAGCTTTTCGACTGTTTTTTGATGCAATACATCTTTATGTTTTTTTTTTGAGTTGAAATGAGTTCTGCTTATTCACTATATCGGTTATAGTTCGTCGTCAATCACTGCTTGCATTCTTATTTTCACTTCTGTTTATATCAACGTGAAGTTTTGTTTTGTAATACGTACGCATCGTTGGTTACCACGTGGAATTGATAGTACAGAGAAAGATTGAAAATAAACAGCACAGGTAAATAATATCATGAGAAAGAATAAGACACGAGAAAAAGCGTTGATTGGGAAAAAAACTCAGCGACTTTCATTTAGTGATTCATACACCATATACTCGATCATTAATCAAACCAAAACAATCGTGAAAAGTTGAATGCTGCATCTGAGCGTAAGCAGACTGCGAATATCATTGGGTTTTTCTTCACTATGCTACAAAAATTAGTTGATATTCACATTTTCAGAAAGAACAAATACCGATGACCGAATTCATCAATAGAGATGCTAGTAAATCGGAGAAATAAATACAATTTCTTCTTTTTTGTGTTGCATATAATTCAAAGAAGAAACAGCTGAAATCGGATTTTGTTTATTAAACTGATGTTTTTGTCGAAAAAATCGAGGGCAAATACTTGTTTTTTAATATGTTCTGTTAACTTTAAATGAAACAAAATCAGCGTAATAGAAAACTCCAGAAAAATCGAAAACATCATCTTCTTGTAGTCATCATGGTAGAATATATTCTTTAAATGTACGAATCGTCTTCTTTTACTCATCAACTTCTATCTACAGACTTAAACTATAAGAAAATATTTAAAATCAAGGCATAAAACTTTCAAAACCAGACCTTTTTGAATAAATGATTTCTTTTTTGATTTAAAATTGATAAAAAGTCGGCTGTTTCTCCTTTGATATAATTCTATTGATTAGAATGCAGTGCGAGTCATAAGGATTAACAATAGAAATCAGAAACAGATATAAAAACTAAAGATCATGAAAGTGAAGACAGATTGATATACTGTGTGAAAAACACATCATTTTTTTTCATTTCTTTAGAATGGGAAATAAATAAGAAGAGAAAGTATGTATTTAAAAGCAGGATTAGTTTTACAGGCATAATGTTTGCATGAACTAGGAGAAAACTGAGCTCGCATTGAGATTTTCACTCATAATATTATAGTAAACTTTAACAAAATAAAACAGAATAAGTTTTCATCATAGATAGATATACTTGCGTCTCTTCTTAAGTAGCAAATGTGAATATGCACGTTTGCATATTTAGACGATTCTGTTCCCTCATGGTTGTACTTCTCTCTTATCTAAATTCAACTGATATTATATTGAATTTCCAAGTATCTTAAAAGAATTCTTTGAAAAGATCCGTTGAATTCAGATGTGAACTTTATTCGAATTATTTTTTGGTGATCCATCCTTGCGATAAGAAAACAATCATTCAAAACTCTATATCTTTGGTAATAAAACAGCATCCACATTTTTTATTAATATTCATTACAATAGTGGCATCATAATTTCGAAAAGTTCGAATATTTTATCTTTAAACCTATATGGAATTTTCTATTAAAACAAAGTGAATATGATAAATGGAACCTATGAAATCAAAAGCTAAAGACTCTAGAAACAAACTTTAAATTACACTTGAAGAAATCCATCCTTATGAAACGTACTGATATAGGTGATGTGGATAACTGTTAAATACATGCTTTAGAAAAGTCATATTTGAGTAAACAATCGAACTTTTCGATGTATTTTTAATGAAAGCAAGGTCTATCAGGTATTATACTATAATTTGTATATCTCAACAAAAGTCTATCGTTTGAAAGTGTGTGAGCAGGTATGGAAGTGTGGGTGTCTTCTCTGCACCTACCTACCTTACACCGGCATTCCGCACTCACACCCTCGAAATGATGTCAGGACATCATTACCTTACATTTGCAGCTTTTTTCAAATTTTTGATCATATCTGAAGTGCAGGTTTTAATCAAAAAAATGTGGTCGTAATAAAAAATTATTTAGGTCTAACAAAAAGTTCTAAGAACATTAAAGAGTAATATAAAGATTGGAAGATATTTCTAATTTTATTTTATAAAATGTTAAGAATAGTTGTCATATCAAGTTCAATCCTTTCGACACAATCTACTAAAAGTTTTTTTGATCTCTTTTTTTCTAAAAAAATTTAAGCTACCTTGGAAATCACATGATCTAATTATATTTCATTTATTTAATCACTTAAATTACATTCGATAGAATTAATTAGTCAAAAAATTATATGGTATCAAACCTGGCGAATACGTTGGGTATGACATTATATTGATGTCTTCTTCTGTTATAGAATTAATAACATTGGATGAGTATGAAATCAACAATGATCGTCAAACAATTTCGTACATTTTAAATCTAATATTCATGTTTGTTTCAATATTTCATTAACAAAAGACTTCGGACAATTTTCAATATAATAATTGTCATCTACAACAAGGATTATTTGATTTTAAAGAATATACTAAACAAAGTTTTGGTTAAAATCTATCTTCATGAACTACAGTCTTTGTCAATTCATCTTCAATAAGCCAGTTAGCATTAGATGATTTATAACTAACTATCTAAAATAAATCGATATCACATCACTAGTGGTGCTAGAATGCAACTGACATTCAAAAATAGAATTCCATTAAATTTTTAAAACAGATGAAATATAATCAGATCATGTGATTTCCAAGGTAGCTAAAATTTTTTTAGAAAAAGAGATCAAAAAAAACTTTTAGTAGATTGTGTCGAAAGGATTGAACTTGATATAGTAACTATTCTCAACATTTTATAAAATAAAATCAAAAAATATCTTCAAATCTTTATATTACTCTTTAATGTTCTTAGAACTTATGGTTAGACCTAAGTAAAGAAAAAACATTTCTTTTGATGAATTGTCTTTAAAATAATGATGGTACAACATATCTCACATATAGCAAAAAAACCTAGTTCATTTTCACCGCATTTTTAGAAATTGGAGTTTGTCTTTCTACTTCAATCCCAAATAACACGTAAGACTAAATGGTTCAGCTGGAATCAGAATCTGTATAGTGTCAAAACTGCTTATAACGTGAAAAAATTGAAAAAAAAGCAAAAATCAACAAGAAATAGATGCATTTCATACAAACACCCTATGTGACTTATAAGACTGTTTAGTTATATTGTTTTTAATTACTATTTATATAAATGTGTGGAGAATTCCACGCCGCATGTTTTAAAAAAGAAAAGATCATTTAAGAAATATCCTGGAGTGTTCATTTTATTTGAAAAAAAAAGTGTTTATTATAATAAATCATTGATTTTTCAAATAGCATATCATTTCTTTTGATTCTAGATTATTTATAATTGAAACTATTTAACAATGACAAAAGCAGTATGGCATTGGAATTCGAATTTAAATCCATGGTGTCCAAAACAAGAACCACAATGGACAAAATATTCTGATATAGAAAATGAAATTATTGAGAAAGCTTATCAAAATCATCAAAACTATGTTGAATTAGATTTATATTGGATTGATCTAGAACATAAAGTACAAAAAAAGAAATCGAATTACAATAAACAAAGACCAATAAAAAGAATTTTAATTGAAAATGAGAACAATTTAAGAGAAGAAAGATTTTTTATTCCTCCAAAATTAAGTAAAACATTTAGTTCTTATAGTATTCATCATTCTGATTTTATTAATGAATGGATTAGGAGAAATTTTCATATAATACATGATATAAAGAAAATAGTTCAAAATGCAATTGATGGTATTATTCATGAAGGTCATTTACTTGAACAAGATAATGAAGCAAAATGGTTAGGTAACAAAGTAATACAATTTAAAAACAGTACACAAGAAGAAATTAATGAATGTTGTGTACATCTCTATACTCGTGAATCATTTCTATATAAATTATTGAATAAAACATTACGAGAAGATGACATGAGTAAAGTAGATACTCTAGGATCATTTGCTTATCTTTTATATGAGAGCAGTTCAAATTTAAAAAAACATCTTTACCAAGGTGTTGTTTATCGTGGAGCCAAACTTGAATCAGATATGATTGATGATTATAAAAAAGCTTTAAATGATGGTTGTAGATCATGGAGCGGTTTTACGTCAACAAGCAGAAATCGTCGAAAAGCTGAAAAATTTGGAAATATATTATTTATTATTGATATTTTACGTCCCAATACTGCAATTGATGTATCATCATTATCTGAATATCCCAGTGAACAAGAAGTTCTTATAGGTGCTGGATGGAATTTTTCTATTAATAATATAGAATTCGATCATAATGGAAAACAGATTATTTATATAAAACAAGATTAAATAACATATCTAC